AGTGCGCGCACGTGTCTGATTGCGGGGGTCGTGCGTGTGTGGTGTGGGAGTGTCAATGCATGTGCGGGAGTGTACGTGTGCGTTTGCACGCATGTGAGCACGTGTCCAAAAGGCCATAAGGTATAGCAGCAGAATGCGGCCATTTGGCCCATCGACTCTGCTCCACCGTTCGATCATTGCTGACATGTTTCTCAACCCCGTTCCACCGTAACCCTTGCCCCCCCCCCACCCCCCCTTACTAATCAGGAACCTGTCTATCTCTGTCTTAAAGACACTCAATAACCTGGCCTCCACAGCTCTCTGTGGCAATGTGTTCTGCAGATTCCCCACCCTCTGCCTGAAGAAATTCCTCCTCATCTCAGTTCGTCTGTTCACTCTGAGGCTGTGCCCTTGGGTCCTAGTCTCTCCTCCTGGTAAAACATCCTCTCCCCGTCCACTCCATCCAGGCCCCTCAGTATTCTGTAAGTTTCAATCAGATCCCCCACCCCATCCTTCTAAACTCCATCGAGTACAGACCCAGAGTCCTCAACCCCTCCTCATATGACACACCCTTCATCCCCAGGATCGTTCTTGTAAACCTCCACTGCACCCCCACCAAGGCCAGCACATCCTTCCTTAGATACGGGGCCCAAAACTGCTTACAATATTCCAAATGTGGTCTGACCAGAGCCTTACACAGCCTCAGCAGTACATCCCTGCTCTTGTGCTCTAGCCCTCTAGGAATGAATGCTAACACTGCATTTACCTTCCTAACTGCCGACTGAACCTGCACGTTAACCTGAAGAGAATCCGGAACTCGGATTCGTAAGTCCATTTGTGCTTCCGACTTCCAAAGCCTTTCCCTGTTTAGAAAATAATCCAAGCCTCTGAACAGAGCCTTGTAGCCTGGGCAGTACGTCTCTGCTCTTCCAGTCATGTCATCGGATCAAGAATCCTGATAAAAGGAGACTGTTCACCCCATTTAGGGTAAGGCGATGGCCTAGTAGTATTATCGCTGGACTGTTAATCCAGAGACCCAGGTAATGTTCTGGGGACCTGGGTTTAAATCCTGCCATGGCACATGGTGGATTTTGAATTCAATAAATATCTGGAATTAAGTGTCTAATAATGATCGTGAATCCATTGCCGATTGTCAGGAAAAACCCATCTGGTTCACTAATGTCTTTTAGGGAAGGAAACTGACATCCTTACCTGGTCTGGCCTACACGTGACTCCAGACCCACAGCAATGTTACTAACTCATAACTGCCCTCTGGGCAATTAGGGATGGGCAATAAATGCTGGGCCTAGCCAGTGACGCCCTCATCCCATGACTGAATAACAGTGTGTATCCTAGCTCTTGGAATGAGTGTCAAGACCTAATGCCATTTCCCCATCACCACTTTTTCTGCTTAAATAGTCATAAAACTGTGAGGCAATAGGAACAGGCCATTCGGCCCCTCAAGACTGCCCCACCATTCATTTGGGTCAAGGCTGATCCCAGCCTCTGGTCTTCCGCTTTCCCTGAATTCCCCAACTGATCAGGAATCTATCAGAAGAGGCCCTTCGGCCCATCGAGTCTAGGCCGACACGTGAGAAACTCCTGACCTTCAACCTAATCCCATTTACCAGCATTTGGCCCCTGGTCTTGAATATTATGACGTGCCCCATGCTCATCCAAGTGTAAAGGATGTGAGGCAACTCGCCTCTACCACCCTCCCAGGCAGCACATTCCAAACTGTCACCGCGCTCTGGATAAAAACACTTCTCTCCCCACATCCCGTCTAAAACTTTCCTGCCCCTCACCTTGAACCCATGTCCCCTCGTGCCTGGCCCAAGGGAAACAGTTGGTCCTTAGCCACTCTCTCCATGCCCCTCATAACCTCGTAAACCTCAATCAGATCCCCCTCGGACTTCCCTGCTCTGACGAAGAACAGCCCACGCCCATCCGACCTACCCCCACCACTTCAGTTCTCCATCCCAGACAGCAATCCTGGTTAATCTCCTCTGCACCCCACCCCCACCCAGAACTACCCACTGTAACTCCAGCTGTGGCCTCGTCAAAGTTCCAGACGACTCCAACATGACCTCCCTGCTTTTGTAATCGGTGTCTCGATGGATAAAGGCAAGTCTCCCATGTGCCTTTCTCGCTGCCCTTCCACCTTCAGAAACCTATGGACTGAGTGCCAAGATCCCTCAATTCAACAGAAAACTTTAATCCTTCCAAAGTTGATCACCTCAGACTCTTCACTGTTAAGTCCCATTCGCCACTTACATGTCCATTTGAACATCCCAGTTTATACCTTCACTTTGCCCAAGACCCTCAGCCTCACTGTTAACCCACCCAACTAATCTCTGCGTCATCCGCAAACATACTATTCCACCCTCCCACACGGTCGTCTATCTTATTTATTTACATCAACGGCGAATTATAGGGGGCCCAGCACAGATCCCTGTGGGTATGCTGCTGGACACTGGCTTCCAGTCACTTGAAAGAGTCTCTATGGTGTGGGAGCAGGCCATTCGGCCCATCGGATCCACACCAAACCTCCAAACAGCAACCCACCCAGACCCATCCCCCTATCCTGTCACTGTAGATCTTACATTTTCCATGGCCAATCCACCCTAACCCGCACATCCCTGGGCACTATGGGACAATTTAGCACGGCCAATCCACCCTAACCCGCACATCCCTGGGTACTATGGGACAATTTAGCACGGCCAATCCACCCTAACCTGCACATCCCTGGGCACTATGGGACAATTTAGCACGGCCAATCCACCCCAACCTGCACATCCATGGGCACGATGGGACAATTTAACACGGCCAATCCACCCTAACCTGCACATCCCTGGCCACTATGGGGTAATTTAACACGGCCAATCCACCCTAACCTGCACATCCCTGGCCACTATGGGGTA